AAATTTTAATTTGTAAGCCTTTTTATTTTTAGTGCGTTTCATGCAGTCAAAACAGAAACAATTTCTCAACTATATAGACAATTTTAAAATCCATTCTTAGTTTAGTGCATATCAAATATAAAGAAATCTCCTAGTCTTTTAGATAAATTTGATTTTGTTTGTTTTCATATAAAGAAAAACTCAACTTACACATCACAAACGCTAACGAATACCCAAAATGCATCTTCGGCCGGCAGGTGCATAAGCAGGAAAGCAGCTATCGGCGCTTGCGCCTGACAAAAGCCCACTTTCGGATTATAGATGGAATACGCTTTTAATACATTAAATAATTCGATTTGGCCCACTTTATCCTCGTCCAGAAACATTTCATGAAAAGGAAATTGACGATGTTTATCCTTTTTGATTTCTTCGATGACATGTGGATTACCGGGCTGTTCGAGTAATTCTTTATAGACAGTGGGATTTTTCTTTTTTAGCAAATAAGCGCCAGATAAATAAAACCAAGCACGTGGACGCACCGATTTTGGTATGCCTTTGCGACAGCGATCACGAATCTATAAAAATAATTCCACATTAAAAAAGATGTACGAACATGTGCATGTATGTATTAGTATGTAAATAGCTTTAAATACCTTTTTGTAGTTTTTGGACATATAAAGCGACCAATTATCAATCATATATAACCACTTCTTTTCTCGCGCAATAATTTGCGCCTTGGAGAGTGGTTCTTTAGGCTTTTCTGTGCGCTGAAAACCACCGTAAAAGCCATTGCGATCTGGGCAACTGGAAACGGTGGAACAAAGTGATATAGTGTCGACGGAGCGTGGTGATGTGGCCATTACAAGCTGAAAATAAAGTAACAATTTTAAATTAATATGTACATAGGTATAAAAGAATTTAAATTAGAAAAATCCATTTACTGAATATGTTATGAAATGCATACAAAATTAAAAACAAACATACAACCAAGGAATGCTTCCGAGAATTTCCATGTTTATATGTATGTACATGTGTATGTATGCACCATTGCAGAAGGCTCGGTTAATTATAGCAGACGTGCAACATGCACGCAAATAAGTTCAAGTATAGAAATAAATCAAAACAGCCATTCAAAATTTGATTCAATTATGTACACATATCAATATGTCTGTATGTTGATTTGCATAGATACATGAAAATTTAAATCTATGATTGTGGAGCCTATGTACCTCCCACGGCTGATGTTGCAGCAATACATCTATTTACTTGAGACGCAAAATAAGCGAACATAGAGGGAGAGAGAGAGAGTGCGGAACGGTTATTATAGGACGTGAGAATTATGTAAAATGTGTATATTCTTTTCAATTATTTAACCTCTAAATTGTGTAAATTCCGATGCCTTCCACTCACAACAAAAAAAATTAAAAATTGTTGTCCTTTTAATGCAAACTCGTAAGATAGTTATTTTTAATAAAATGCTGACGCTTATCAAATTGGGCGGTAAAATTCCAATGCAAATACACACTGAGTATTCGAATTTGTAAATGTACATACATACATACATATTCATATGGCTGTATGTACATATGTAGTAATTGCAAAGTGCATTAGTTCCGACAAGACAAGTGCCTCCTCCTTATTTGACTGTCATTTTAGAGACATAAAAGGAAACTTGTGGTTGCTTTAATTGTTTTTAAAGTATGGCCGCGTTGAATATTAATAACTTTTTATTTTGGCATTGATGTAACGTCGAAGTTGGCGCAATATGTGTTGCGAAAGTCGGAAGGCCAGAGAAATAAAAATACGTTAAGGAAATAATTTTAAATCATTTTTTAAATTTCAATTCTAAAAAAATGGTTTACATTTTTTATCGAATGAATGGTATTTATTTACGGCCACAACGGATATATTAATCAAGCGAGTGGTGCTTAAGTATACTTTCGAGTTATGAATGTTCATACATACAAACATAAATATATACATATGCATAACATAAATATGTATGCATATGTATGTACATATGTATATGTAAAACAAAGTTACGATTCTCTTCTGCAATTCATCTGACTGGCAAGGCAGACAAAACTATTCCAACTAGGGACCATTTTGTTGTGACTGCAGGGGAATTTTAACTAGACTAGCTTAGAGCGAATAGTTTTATAGGCGATTATAGAGTCAGAGTTGGTACAAACCGCATGTACATACATACAAACATACATGCATACTTTGCTATAACAATAAAAATACGTAAAGTTCTTCGTTGGTTGGATGTTTGGGAGTTCTCAATCACGCCCCTATCGAAGGGAAAGCATCCGCAAAATAAACCAATTTCTGTGGTGGTATTGCTTCCGCCCTACTACTACCTGGTAGTAGCATTAATGTAACTATTAATCCTTCAGAGTACTACCTCTAGCTATGAAGGATGACTTTCTGTTTAAAAAAATAATAGAATTATCTTAAAAATTTTTCAAATAAATTTTTGACCCATGAAAAAAGAACAAACTCACTTAAAATACCAGACGTTGCATACTTTATGGATAAATATTTGCTAATGTAGCAATCAAGCGAAAGCAACACACAGGATATGCAAATGCGATGAGCCTTCTTATTGGCGTGGGAGTAGGGCCGTAAAACAATGTTATTCTTTAACCGTGCGCTAAAAATACAAAAAAAAA